AGCGGCCACTGCACTCCAGTCTGGGTAACAGAGTGAGACTCCAACTCAAAAAAAAAGAAATAGACATATCAACCAGTGGAACAGAATAGAGACCAGAAATGATCCCATGCATGTAACAGTCAATTGGTTTTTAACAAAGGTAAAATGAACACACAGTGTAAAAAAGACAATCTCTTCAATAAATGATGCCAGAAAAACTGGTTATATATATTCAAACACTGAAGTTGGATCCCTATCTTACACTGTATACAAAAATCAACTCAAAATGAGTTAAAGGCTTAAATATATAGTCTGAACATATTAAACAAGTAGAATAAATCATGGGGAAGACCCACATGATGTTGGTCCCAGCAAAATTTTTGGATATGACCCTAGTAGCTCAGGCAACAAAAGCAAACTTAGACAAATGGAATTGCAAAAAACCAAAATGCTCCTGGACAGCAAAGGAGACAACAGAGTAAAGAGAACTTACATATTGTGAGAAAATATTTGCAAATCCAAATATTAAGATCCAAAATGTATTAGAAACGGAACTCAACATCATGAAAACAAATGGCCCAATTTAAAAATAGGCAACCGACGTCAGTAGACATTTCTTGAAAAAAGGCTCCACATCACTAATTATAGAAATTTAAATTTAAGCCACAATGAGATATCACATCACACCGGTCAGAATGGCTAATGTCAAAAAGACAAAAGATAGACATTGGTGAGGATGTGGAGAAAAGGGAACCCTTGTACCCTGAAATGTAAATTAGTACAGGCATTATAGAAACCTGACAATGGATTTATTATATGATCCAGTAATCCCACTTCTCGGTCTATATTCAAAAGGTTTGAGATGAGTATGTCCAAGAAATATCTGCACTCCGTGTTTATTGCAGCATTATTACAATAGCCAAGTTATGTGATCAAACAAGTGTTCACCAGTGAATGAATGAGTGAGGACATTATGTCATATATAGAGAGTGTAATACTGTTCAGCCTTCAAAAGAAGGAAATTCTGCCTGCTACAACATGGATGAACCTGGAGGACTTTTTGCTAAGTGGAGTAAGCCAGGCACAAAAATACAAAAACTGCATGTTCTCATTTGTATGTGGAATCTAAACCAGCAGAAGTAAAAGCAGAGAGTAGAATGTTGGGTGCCAGAGACTAGGGGATGTTGGCCAGTGGATACAAAGTTTCAGTTAAACAGCAGGAGTAAGTTATACGTTTTTGCAATGATGGATATGGTAATAAGCTTTATTCCATCATTCCACATTGTATAAATATGTTGTGACTATTCCATACTCCATACATATATACAATTATAATTTGTTGATATACAGTAAAATATTTTAGATATGCTACAATTTCTTTTTTATAGCTATATGACAGTTGTACATCAATATCTGTACTTGTGTTATTTTGAAACCTGCACACAATATATGATGGTCAAATCAAGGTGCATGGGATGCCCATCACTTCAAACTTGTACTTTTTTTTGTGTTGGAAACATTGTAATTCTTCTAGGTATTTGGAATTTTAAAATAAATTATTGTTAACTATAATTTTCCTACAGTACTATTAAATACTAGAACTCATTCCTTCTAACTATTTTTGTAACCCATAGCAAACTTCTCTTCATCTGCCCTTCCCTTCCCAGCCTCTTGTAATCACCATTCTATACTTTTTGGATCCAATTTTTTAGGTCCCACATATGAGTGAGAACATACATACGATATTTGTCTTTATCCATTCATTTGTAGTTGAATACTTAGATTGATTCCATAACATGGCTATTGTGAATAGTGGTGCAACAAACACGGGCGTGCAGATAGCTCTTCAATATAATATTATTTCCTTTCTTTGGATATATACCCAGCAAAGTGATTGCCAAGCCATTTGACAGTACTAAGATCTTTTTCCTATTTTTTTTTTTTTTTTTTTGAGTTGGATTCTCACTGTGTCACCCAGACTGGAGTGCAGTGGCACCCTCCCGGC